ATTCATTGCCATGGAACAGGATAAAGAAAGAAGAATGCAAAGAAATGAAGACAGCCTAAGAGACCTCTGGGACAACATTAAATGCACCAACATTCACATTATAGGGGTCCCAGAAGGAGAAGAGAGAGAGAAAGGACCCGAGAAAATACTTGAAGAGATTATAGTCGAAAAGTTCCCTAACATGGGAAATGAAATAGCCACCCAAGTCCAGGAAGCGCAGAGAGTCCCAGGCAGGATAAACCCAAGGAGAAACATGCCGAGACACATAGTAATCAAACTGACAAAAATTAAAGACAAAGAAAAATTATTGAAAGCAACAAGGGAAAAACGACAACATACAAGGGAACTCCCATAAGGTTAACAGCTGGTTTCTCAGCAGAAACTCTACAAGCCAGAAGGGAGTGGCACGATATATTTAAAGTGATGAAAGGGAAGAACCTACAACCAAGATTACTCTACCCAGCAAGGATCTTATTCACATTCGACAGAGAAATCAAAAGTTTTACACACAAGCAAAAGCTAAGAGAATTCAGCACTACCAAACCAGCTCTACAGCAAATGCTAAAGGAACTTCTCTAAGTGGGAAACACAAGAGAAGAAAAGGACCTACAAAAACAAACCAGTAACAATTAAGAAAATGGTAATAGGAACATACATATCGATAATTACCTTAAACGTGAATGGATTAAATGCTTCAACCAAAAGACACAGGCTCGCTGAATGGATACCAAAACAAGACCCATATATATACTGCCTACAAGAGACCCACTTCAGGCCTAGGGACACATACAGACTGAAAGTGAGGGGATGGAAAAAGATATTCCAAGCAAATGGAAATCAGAAGAAAGCTGGAGTAGCAATACTCATATCAGATAAAATAGACTTTAAAATAAACAATGTTCCAAGAGACAAGGAAGGACACTACATAATGATCAAGGGATCAATCCAAGAAGAAGATATAACAATTATATATGCACGCAACATAGGAGCACCTCAATACATAAGGCAACTGCTAACAGCTATAAAAGAGGAAATTGACAGTAACACAATAATAGTGAGGGACTTTTAACACCTCACTTACACCAATGGACAGATCATCCAGACAGAAAATTAATGAAACACAAGCTTTAAATAACACAATAGACCAGATAGATTTAATTGATATTTATAGGACATTCCATCCTATAATGTCCTATATTACACTTTCTTCTGAAGTGCACACGGAACATTCTCCAGGATAGATCACATCTTGGGTCACAAATCAAGCCTCAGTAAATTTAAGAAAATTGAAATCATATCAGGCATCTTCTCTGACCACAGTGCTATGAGATTAGAAAGCAATTACAGGGAAAGAAACATAAAAAAACACAAACACATGGAGGCTAAACAATGTGTTTCTAAATAACCAAGAGATCACTGAAGAAATCAAAGAGGAAATCAAAAAATGCCTAGAGACAAATTACAATGAAAACACAATGATCCAAAACCCATGGGATGTGGCAAAAGCAGTTCTAAGAGAGAAGTTTATAGCAATACGACCCTACCTCAAGAAACAAGAAAAATCTCAAATAAACAATGTAACCTTACACCTAAAGGCACTAGAGAAAGAAGAACAAACAAAACCCAAAGTTAGTAGAAGGAAAGAAATCATAAAGATCAGAGCAGAAATAAATGAAATAGAAACAAAGAAAACAATAGCAAAGATCAATAAAACTAAAAGCTGGTTCTTTGAGAATAGAAACAAAATAGATAATCCTTTAGCCAGACTCATCAAGAAAAAGAGGGAGCAGACTCAAATCAATAAAATTAGAAATGAAAAAGGAGAAGTTACAGTGGACACCACAGAAATACAAAGCATCATAAGAGACTACTACAAGCAACTCTATACCAATAAAATGGACAACCTGGAAGAAATGGACAAATTCTTAGAAAGGTGTAACCTTCCAAGACTGAACCAGGAAGAAATAGAAATATAAACAGACCAATCACAAGTAATGAAATTGAAGCTGTGATTTAAAAAAACTACAACAAACAAAAGTCCAGGACCAGGTGGCTTCACAGATGAATTCTATCAAACATTTAGAGAAGAGCTAACACCCATCCTTCTCCAGCTCTTCCCAAAAATTGCAGAGGAAAGAACACTCTCAAACTCATTCTACAAGGCCACCATCACCCTTGCACCAAAACCAGACAACGATACTACAAAAAAAGAAAATTACAGACCAATATCACTGATAAATATAGATGCAAAAATCCTCAACAAAATACTAGGAAACAGAATCCAACAACACATTAAAAGAGTCATTCACCATGATCAAGTGAGATTTCTTCCAGGGATGCAGGATTCTTCAATGTACGCAAATCAATCAACGTGATACACCATATTAACAACTTGAAGACGAAAAACCATATGATCATCTCAACAGATGCAGAAAAAGCTTCTGACAAAATTCAACACCCATTTATGATAAAAACTCTCCAGAAAGTGGGCACAGAGGGAACCTACCTCAACATAATAAAGGCCATATACCACAAACCCACAGGAAACATCATTCTCAATGGTGAAAAACTGAAAGCATTTCCTCTAAGATCAGGAACGAGACAAGGATGTCCACTCTCGCCACTATTATTCAACATAGTTTTGTAAGTCCTAGCTACGGCAATCAGAGAAGAAAAAGAAATAAAAGGAACACAAATTGGAAAAGAAGAAGTACGACTGTCACTGTTTGCAGATGACATGATACTATACATAGAGAATCCTAAAGATGCCACCAGAAAACTACTAGAGATAATCAATGAATTTGGTAAAGTTGCAGGATACAAAATTAATGCACAGAAATCTCTTGCATTCCTATACACTAATGATGAAAAATCCGAAAGAGAAATTAAGGAAACAATCCCATTCACCATTGCAACAAAAAGAATAAAATACCTAGGAATAAACCTACCTAAGGAGGTAAAAGACCTGTACTCAGAGAACTATAAGACACTGATGAATGAAATCAAAGATGACACAAACAGATGGATATACCATGTTCTTGGATTGGAAGAATCAATATTGTGAAAATGACTATACTACCCAAAGCAATCTACAGATTCAATGCAATCAACCCCTGTCAAATTACCACTGGCATTTTTTACAGAACTAGAACAAAAAAATCTTAAAATTTGTATGGAGACACAAATAGCCAAAGCAGTCTTGAGGGGAAAAAGTGGAGCTGGAGGAGTCAGGAGTCAGACTCCTGACTTCAGACTATACTACAAAGCTACAGTAATCAAGACAATATGGTACTGGCACAAAAACAGAAATATAAGATCAGTGGAACAGGATAGAAAGCCTAGAGATAAACCCACGCACCTGTGGTTAACTAATCTATGACAAAGGAGGCAAAGGTATACAATGGAGAAAAGACAGTCTCTTCAATAAGTGGTGCTGAGAACACTGGACAGCTACATGTAAAAGAATGAAATTAGAACACTCCCTAACACCATACACAAAAATAAACTCAGTGGATTAAAGACCTAAATGTAAGACCAGACACTATAAAACTCTTAGAGGAAAACATAGGAAGAACAGTCTTTGACATAAATCACAGCGAGATCTTTTTTGATCCACCTCCTAGAGTAATGGAAATAAAAACAAAAATAAACAAATGGGACCTAATGAAACTTAAAAGCTTTTGCAAAGCAAAGGAAACTATAAGCAAGACAAAAATCAACCCTCAGAACGGGAGAAAATATTTGCAAACAAATCAACAGACAAAGGATTAATCTCAAAAATATATAAACAGCTCATACAGCTCAATATTAAAGAAACAAACAGCCCAATCAAAAAATGGGCATAAGACCTAAATAGACATTTCTCCAAAGAAGACATACAATGGTCAAGAAGCACATGAAAAGCTGCTCAACATCACTAATTATTAGAGAAATGCAAATCAAAACTACAGTGAGGTATCACCTCACACCAGTTAGAATGGGCATCATCAGAAAATCTGCAAACAACAAATGCTGGAGAGGGTGGTGGAGAAAAGGGAATCCTCTTGAACCGTTGGTGGGAATGTAAATTGATAGAGCCACTATGGAGAACAGTATGGAGGTTCCTTAAAAAACTAAAAATAGAATTACCATATGACCCAGCAATCCCACTACTGGGCATATACCGTGAGAAAACCATCATTCAAAAAGACACATGCACCCCAATGTTCATTGCAGCGCTATTTACAACAGCCAGGTCATGGAAGCAACCTAAATGCCCATCGACAGATGAATGGATAAAGAAGATGTGGTACCTATGTACAATGGAATATTACTCAGCCATAAAAATTAACGAAATTGGGTCATTTGTAGAGACGTGGATGGATCTAGAGACTCATACAGAGTGTTATTACTTTTAAATGAATAAAGATATATTTTAAAAATTTCTCATCTAAATTTTGAATATAGTAAATGCCGATAGGTACAACCACATAAACAAAAGTTCTTTGGGATACTCCACGATTTTAGAGTGTGAAAAGGACTCAAGAGCAAATAAATTTCAGGACTTGCTGGTCTAGAGTTATTTGCTCTAGAAGCTCCTCCTGAAGTGAATAGGTAAACCCGGAATGAATAGGTGTACAGGACCCCTTGTCCACAGGGTCTCTGTTTCCACAGAATCACAGCCTGGGCCTGAATAGGAGCACAAGATAAAGCAGTAAGAGGGCAAGAGAACCATAGGTGCTGAAATAACAAACGTAGATGAAAGGAAACAATCACGGGGCCAGTGATGTTAATAAAAACAATTTTCTCTAGAAAGGTGAAGAGTTGTGGCTTTTCAGGCTATTCGGGTGCCTTAGCGGTTCCATAAGTCTGGCTAAACACAGGTAAACCTCAAGCCCTGTTGTGTTGTCTTTAGTCAGAGGTGACTTTGAAGTGACTTGTGTGAGAGGAAACTGAAAGAGAGATTTAGCAAGGAGGAAATGCACAAATAAAGAACTTTCTCCTTCTCATTGCTTTCCCAGATCCTCTGTCAATGGGTCCTCAGAAAGCCCTGGAAACCATTGGTGCGAATTTACAGAAGCAGTACGAGAACTGGCAGCCAAGGGTAAGTTCTTTATTTGCTTTCCTTTTTCTTTCTTACAGGGAAATTTAGTTTCTTGGTTTTAAACAATCTTTGAATCCAGATCCTCACCTCATATAATCCAGTGATTGGACACTCCCCGTGGCAGGCTTGCAACCCCTTTCTGTCTGTTGATGTGCTCCATGGATTCATAATGAAGCACATGCCCTAGTGTGAGCCATTAATTGGATGGTCTGTTATTTATTTTGCCTACGCTTTCCCCTGAAATATTTGGAAAATAAAAAGTATTTTTCATGTTACTCTTAAATCGCGGTTTTTATTTTACACAGGGAATGTATTTTCAGTTATTTTCTGCAACCTCAACTACTTAGAACTATTTCTCCCATCTTCAGTTTTCAAATAGTTGAGGAAAAAAGCAGTCAACATTCAAAAGGTGACACCTGTTATATGCTTTGCCTTTGATTCAAAAGGTAAGGTTCTTTTTAGGGAGTCAGTTACCAGTTACTGTGTCTTTTGTTGCCTATATCTTACCGTTTTTAAAAAAGAAAAGTGGTATAGAATATAACAACTCTGTCAGATTGCCTTTAGATCTCAAGTTATTTGTAAACCGCCCAAAGACATATTTTATTTAGTCTTTCTCATTAACTAGTTTGAGGATTTAATAATTCTAATAGAAAATTAGAAATCTGGGGTGTTTATGGAGGTACCTTTCCATACAGCTTTGTGTGATGCTGGTTCTGGAATTACCTACAGGACGTGACAAGGAGGGGGTGGTGAGCAGGTGGCCTTGCCGGCATGCCTCTCATGGGTCTTTGCTTCTCCTTTTCGGGAGTAAGCCTAATGGGAATGTCTTGGAGAACCAGCCAACACTTGCCTGTCTGGGATTTTCATTCGTGGATTATTTATCCACGTGATCTGGATTTAGGAATTCTTCATGGATTATTTACATTCCAAGAGAAGAGAATGGCCAGGAATAAATTTGTTCCTGCCTGTGATGGTGCCCTTGGTAATTTTTTACTGTTGCTCATGGTGCCAGGTGACTAATGTCACAAAATATCTCTGTGCCACTGATGTGTCCTTGTGCTTTGCATTTCTAACTTTTCAAGTTAGTAATGGA